AAGACCACCTTTATTTAGAACATTCGAGCTTTGAATCAACCTGGTCTCATGGTGCATACAGAATGTTCAGGAATGCTTTTATCATTATGGGTCCAATTCAACACGAGACAGTCTGAAATGATTTTTACCTGTAAAAATATGTTCTCTGAAAAGTTACTGGTCTAAGGTACTGAATGCATCCATGTAAAATTCTAAATGTATTTATTGTTTATCTGGTCTTGATCTGATTTTAAAATGTGAATTGATTTTTTGCTCATTTAAAAAGTTTATAAGTCTTATAAACACACACACACACACACACACACACACACACACACACACACACACACACACACACACTTATTATTCTCTGTTAGATCATTGTTAGTGTTAATATTGTATTACTTTAGCTGAACTGCGTTGTCCTCAGAGGGCTGGAGTCCAACTCCAGTAGTAATCAGGCAAAAGGTGGGAGACACCCTAAACAGGTCTCATGTCCATCTCAAAGGCAAGCCAACTGTGACACACTCACTCACACCCAGAGACCATTTAGAATCTCCAGTTAAACTACAATGGAAATGTTGGAAAACAAATGAGCCTAAATCATGTTTTAATGCCTCTTAACACTAGAACTCCCAGAGAGCCGCCATTTGGCACCGTTATTTTCACCTAGCATTCACAATCACTTGTGATTGTGAACGTTCGCCTTTGTTCTGTAAATCACTTCAGGAGATGCTGGTGCTCCCCATGGACGTAATTTTCACTTTAGAAGTGTGTGTGTGTGTGTGGGTGTGTGTGTGGGGGTGGGGGGGGGGTGGGGGGGGGGTGGGGTATCTTTACAGTATGCTCTAATGGGAAACAGGCTTCAACACAAATGGTTGTTTTCTGCTTGGTCCTAGAGCTCAACCAGTGTCAATTTAATATAAAGTAATATTGTTTTTGGATGGTAAAAAGTGCAGGGGTCAAAACTTGCCTTTGGAAAAAGTGGGGGAGCTTGTCAATCCTAAATAAAAAATATCCGAGGATATTACAAGGTGTCAGAAGTATGTCGGATCCCGCCCCAACTGCAGAGGTCCTCCAGAAGACAGCTGCAAGACTGTAAAGGTACAAGAGTTAAGAGCGAACTGCAGCTAACGTTAGCATCGGGCTAGCGGCTTGTACCAGGGATAGAAGATGGATACACTCTTTACCATAAACCCGCCAGAAAACTTTGACTTTTCAGACTTTTCCAACTGGCCCGACTGGATTCGCAGATTTGAACGCTTCAGAGTAGCGGCAAAAAGGATGAAGAATATCAGGTTAACTCCCTTATCTAAACAATGGGGGATAAAGCTGACGATATTTTGAGCACACTTGGATTGACTTTGATTGACGAAATGAAAACATATAAACCAGAGAAGGAGACTTCTGATAAGCATTTTATTTGCAAGTACAACGTAATGTATGAACGTGCTCGTTTCAATAGAAGATGCCAAGGACCAGGGGAGTCAGTGGAGGCTTTTATAGCAGCAGTTTATAAACTAGCGGAACATTGCCAGTATGGCCCATTGCAGGATGAAAGGATCCGTGACAGACTAGTAGTTGGAATCAGGCATCATGGCCTGTCAGAAAAACCACAGATGGACAGTGAGCTGACCCTGGAAAAAGCTGTAACAGCGATAAAACTACATGAGGAAATGAAAAGACAGCAACCGGTGGTGCGAGACACAAACATGCCAGAACAGAAAGAAACAAACGTGGACTTTCTAAAATTTAAAAAGAAATATTACAAAGAGCAACAGACAGCAAAGGCAGGTTATAAAAGGACCCAACACGATCCTCAAAAAGGACTGAAAAGCTGCAGAAGGTGTGGTAAAGCACCAGGGCACTCTCCAAACAGCTGTGCAGCAAGAGAAGCAGAGAGCAGAAATGCAGAAAAAGAAGACATTTTGCAGCTGTTTGCCAGTCAGGCAGAGTGGGGGCAATTACTGAGGAGGACAGCTGTATCTTTCTTTCTGGGAGCTGTATCAGGAAGCAACAAACTCAGAACATGGAAAAAGATTATTAAAGTGAATGGACAAGACATTTCCTTCAAGCTAGACACAGGAGCTGAGGTTACCGTCATTCCAGCATCCTTATATTCAGAAGACCAGCATGGTCCCCTCACCAGAGCAACAGTACCACTGTGCGGGCCCAGCAGTGAACCCTTACAAGTGAGGAGACATTTTGAAGGAATAATGGAACACAAGGGCAAAACAACAACACAGTCAGTCTATGTTGTACAGAAGCTAGCTACCCCCTGCTGGGATTTCCAGCCATCACAGATACTGCAGCTAAAGACTGGCAAGCAGAAATAAGCAGCAAATATCACCAAGTCTTCACTGGACTGGGCTGTATAGAAGGCGAATACAAGATCAAACTCAAAAGTAATGCCAAGCCTTTTGCATTGTCACTACCAAGACGAGTGCCCCTACCAATGTATGATAAAGTAAAAGAAGAACTGAACAGAATGGTGGAAATGGAAGTCATCGAGCCCATAGAGGAGAGCACAGAATGGTGTGCGGGAATGGTGGTGGCACCAAAACCAAATGGAAAAATCAGAATATGTTCTGACATGACTCAGTTAAATAAATACATCTGTCGAGAACGACACATATTGCCAGCAGTGGATGAAACTCTAGCAAAACTCACTGGAGCAAAACTGGACGCCACTGCCAGATTTTGGCAGATACCCCTGCATCCAGAATCGGCCCCTTTAACGACATTCATCACCCCGTTTGGGAGGTACGGATACAAGAGGCTCCCTTTCGGGATTTCATCAGTGCCAGAACATTTGCAGTGCCGGTTGACACAAATGTCAATGGGACTGGAGGGCACAGTGTGTCACGCTGATGACATTCTTGTGTTCGGGACCACGAGAACACAACATGACCAAAGACTGCATTAAGTGTTAGAGTGTCTCCAGGAACGTGGCCTAACTCTAAACAAAGACAAACGTCAGTTTGCTGTTGACAAAGTAAAGTTCCTGGGACACTTTATAAGTGCGCAGGGAATAGAGGCTGACCCGGAGAAACTCAGGGCAATCAGAGAGATGGCAGAGCCCAAGGATGTGGGAGGTGTCAAAAGACTCGTGGGCATGGTGAACTATGTAGGGAAATTCTCTCCACGCATCGCAGAGCTTACCCAACCGCTACGAGATCTACTGAAGACAGGTAACGCCAGGACATGGGGGAGTGCACAACAGCGAGCGATTGAGGAGTTACAAAAGGAGCTTAGCTCACCCACCATTTTGGCCCGACATTGCCTCAACAGAGAGACTATTGTTGTCGCTGATGCTTCTTCGTTTGGGCTTGGGGGAGTCTTGTCACAGAAGCAACCCTCTGGAGACTGGTGCCCAGTTGCCTTCATATCACGCAGCATGTCAGAAACGGAGCACAGATATGTGCAAATAGAGAAAGAGGCACTCGCCATAACATGGGCATGCGAGCACTTTCAGACGTATTTAGTAGGCATGGACTTTCTGATACAGACAGACCATAAACCACTTATTTCCTTGCTGGGAAGTAGAAGGTTAGATGACCTGCCTCCTCGGATTCTGAGGTTCAGACTGTGTCTGCTGCGATTCACATACACGATTGAGAAAGTCCCGGGCAAAAATCTGATCACAGCAGACGCTCTGTCAAGGGCACCCATTCACACTGCCCAGAGGCATGAGGAACAAAATCTGGAACAAGATGTGGCAGCATCCATTCTCCTTGTGATGGAGCATTTACCAGCTTCAGCACAGAGATTGGATCAGATTAAAGGAGCAAAACACTGGGACGACATGTGTACCAAGCTGAAAAACATGGTGGCAAGTGGCTGACCACTTAATAGAAGGGTGCTGCCAGCTCTACTTCAACCCTATTGAAAGTATCACCAGGACTTGCTGGTCGCTGAAGGACTACTGATGAAGGGAGATCATCTAATCATCCCTACCAACATGCAACAGGAGATCTTGGACGTGATCCATGAGGGACACCAAGGTATGTCAAAATGCATAGCAAGAGCACATGACTCAGTGTGGTGGCCAGGATTGACGAAGAAAATAAAACAAAAGGTGGAGAACTGTGAGGTCTGTGCAAAGGAGGCATACATTGCATCGGAGCCCCTACCGACAGACGGGCCGTGGCAACGCGTAGCAGCTGATCTCTTTCAGTTGGACAGGGATGTGTATATTGTGGTTGTTGATTACTTCTCCAGGTACATTGAAGTGGCTAGGCTTTCCTCTACCACAACAGCCCAGGTTGTGGGGAAGTTGAAATCCATCTTTGCAAGGCACGGCGTTCCACAGGCTGTTATCACTGATAATGGTCCACAGTTCTCTTCAGCAGAGTTTGCAGCCTTCGCAAAGGATTATGATTTCAAGCACATGACGAGCAGCCCCCGATATCCACAAAGTAACGGAGAAGCAGAGAGGGCTGTTAGGACGATTCAATCACTCTTCAAAAAGGGGAAGGATCCATACAAGGCCCTGATGGCATACAGAGCCACGCCCTTGATGCATGGGTCATCACCTGTGCAGTTGCTTATGGGTCGTAACATCAGAACACCACTGCCTGTGAGTCACACAAAGCTCATGACAGGATGGCCTGAGCTTCAAGCTTTCAGAAGAAAGGGTCTTGAAATAAAAGACAAGCAAGCCTTTTGGTTCAACAAACATCACAAAACAAAGATGAGGCCATCCCTAAAACCAGGACAGAGACTCTGAGTGAGGAACATGAAAGATCCCGGGACAGTCATCGGTCGCCGAGATCTTACGACATAGACCTACCACCTGGAAGTCTCAGAAGAAATCGATCTCACGTCAGAATGATTCCAGAGACAACCAGAAACACTAGACCACGGCATGTCATTCAACCTCCAGACAGACTGAATCTGTAGTTAGATAGCTGTGTTTTATGTTGTGGGGCAGAATAAACCCTGCACAGCTTTAGGGGATTCATGTAGTCCACCCTGGGCCCCTAGGACAGAAAAAAAGAGGAGGAATGGATGATATATGG